CCCTACATCCTTTGCCTCAACGTCCTTTACATCGGCAAAATCACCAGCAATGCTAGGTGATTTAGATTTGTCAGATTCAGCTCTCGTATCCATTGTAACACTGGTTACGCTGGGAGAACGAGACTTTTCCATATCTTTTACGTGTGCAATGTCTTCGGTAATGCTGGGTGATTTCGATTTGTCGGTGATAACTTTTTGTTCCGCTGATACACTCGTCACACTGGGAGATCGCGACTTCTCCATGCTTTTTGTCTCAATTTCCTTTAAATCTGCAACGTCACCAGCAATACTGGGTGATTTCGACTTGTCGGTTTCAGCTTTTGGTTCTATTGATATACTCGTCACAGTTGGAGAACGTGGCTTCTGGATATCATCTGTCTCAACATCCTTTACATCGACAACGTCACCAGCAACGCTGGGTGATTTAGATTTGTCGGATTCAGCTTTTATGTCCATTGTTACACTCGTAACACTGGGAGAACGAGATTTTACGATATCTTTTACTTCAATATCTTTAACGTGTGCAAAGTCTTCAGTAATGCTGGGTGATTTCGATTTGTCGGTGATAAATTTTTGTTCGACTGATACACTCGTCACACTGGGAGAACGAGACTTTTCGACATCCTTTGCCTCAACATCCTTTACATCGGCAACGTCACCAGCAATACTGGGTGATTTAGATTTGTCAGATTCAGCTCTCGTATCCATTGTAACACTGGTTACGCTGGGAGAACGAGACTTTTCGATATCTTTTACTTCAACATCTTTTACGTGTGAAATGTCTTCGGTAATGCTGGGTGATTTCGATTTGTCGGTGATAACTTTTTGCTCGACTGATACACTCGTCACACTGGGAGAACGAGACTTTTCGATATCTTTTACTTCAACAACTTTTACGTGTGAAATGTCTTCGGTAATGCTGGGTGATTTCGATTTGTCGGTGATAACTTTTTGCTCGACTGATACACTCGTCACACTGGGAGAACGAGACTTTTCGACATCCTTTGCCTCAACATCTTTTACATCGGCAACGTCACCAGCAATACTGGGTGATTTAGATTTGTCAGATTCAGCTCTCGTATCCATTGTAACACTGGTTACGCTGGGAGAACGAGACTTTTCGATATCTTTTACTTCAACATCTTTTACGTGTGAAATGTCTTCGGTAATGCTGGGTGATTTCGATTTGTCGGTGATAACTTTTTGTTCGACTGATACACTCGTCACACTGGGAGAACGAGACTTTTCGACATCCTTTGCCTCAACATCCTTTACATCGGCAACGTCACCAGCAATGCTGGGTGATTTAGATTTGTCGGATTCAGCTTTTATATCCATTGTTACACTCGTAACACTGGGAGAACGAGACTTTTCGCTATCTTTTACTTCAACAGCTTTTACGTGTGCAATATCTTCAGCAATACTGGGTGATTTCGACTTGTCGGTTTCAGCTTTTGGTTCCATCGATACAATCGTCACACTGGGAGAGCGAGACTTCTCTACATCCTTTGGCGCAACATCCTTTACATCGGCAACGTCACCAGCAATGCTGGGTGATTTAGATTTGTCAGATTCAGCTCTCGTATCCACTGTAACACTGGTTACGCTGGGAGAACGAGACTTTTCGATATCTTTTACTTCAACATCTTTTACGTGTGCAATGTCTTCAGCAATGCTGGGTGATTTTGATTTATCGCTTTCAACTTTTGGTTCCATCGATACACTCGTCATACTGGGAGAACGAGACTTCTCGACATCCTTTGCCTCGATATCCTTTACATCGGCAACGTCACCAGCAATGCTGGGTGATTTAGATTTGTCAGATTCAGCTTTCGTATCCATGGTAACACTGGTTACGCTGGGAGAACGAGACTTTTCGACATCCTTTGCCTCAACATCCTTTACATCGGCAACGTCACCAGCAATGCTGGGTGATTTAGATTTGTCAGATTCAGCTTTCGTATCCATGGTAACACTGGTTACGCTGGGAGAACGAGACTTTTCGCTATCTTTTACTTCAACAGCTTTTACGTGTGCAATATCTTCAGCAATACTGGGTGATTTCGACTTGTCGGTTTCAGCTTTTGGTTCCATCGATACAATCGTCACACTGGGAGAGCGAGACTTCTCTACATCCTTTGGCGCAACATCCTTTACATCGGCAACGTCACCAGCAATGCTGGGTGATTTAGATTTGTCAGATTCAGCTTTCGTATCCATTGTAACACTGGCTACACTGGAAGAACGAGACTTTTCGATATCTTTTACTTCAACATCTTTTACGTATGCAATATCTTCGGCAATGCTGGGTGATTTCGATTTGTCGGTGATAGCTTTTTGTTCAACTGATACACTCGCCACACTGGGAGAACGAGACTTCTCGACATCCTTTGCCTCAACATCCTTTACATCAGCAACGTCACCAGCAATGCTCGGTGATTTAGATTTGTCAGATTCAGCTCTCGTATCCATGGTAACACTGGTTACGCTGGGAGAACGAGACTTTTCGATATCTTTTACTTCAACATCTTTTACGTGCGCAATGTCTTCAGCAATGCTGGGTGATTTCGACTTATAGCTTTCAACTTTTGGTTCCATCGATACACTCGTCACACTGGGAGAACGAGACTTCTCGACATCCTTTACCTCGATATCCTTTACATCGGCAACGTCACCAGCAATGCTGGGTGATTTAGATTTGTCAGATTCAGCTTTCGTATCCATTGTAACACTGGTTACGCTGGGAGAACGAGACTTTTCGCTATCTTTTACTTCAACAGCTTTTACGTGTGCAATATCTTCAGCAATACTGGGTGATTTCGACTTGTCGGTTTCAGCTTTTGGTTCCATCGATACAATCGTCACACTGGGAGAGCGAGACTTCTCTACATCCTTTGGCGCAACATCCTTTACATCGGCAACGTCACCAGCAATGCTGGGTGATTTAGATTTGTCAGATTCAGCTTTCGTATCCATTGTAACACTGGCTACACTGGAAGAACGAGACTTTTCGATATCTTTTACTTCAACATCTTTTACGTGTGCAATGTCTTCAGCAATGCTGGGTGATTTCGATTTATCGCTTTCAGCTTTTGGTTCCATTGATACACTCGTCACACTGGGAGAACGAGACTTCTCGACATCCTTTGCCTCGATATCCTTTACATCGGCAACTTCACCAGCAATGCTGGGTGATTTAGATTTGTCAGATTCAGCCCTCGTATCCATTGTAACACTAGTTACGCTGGGAGAACGAGACTTTTCGATATCTTTTACGTGTGCAATATCTTCGGCAATGCTGGGTGATTTCGATTTGTCGGTGATAGCTTTCTGTTCAACTGCTACACTCGTCACACTGGGAGAACGAGACTTCTCGACATCCTTTGCCTCAACATCCTTTACATCGGCAACGTCACCAGCAATGCTCGGTGATTTAGATTTGTCAGATTCAGCTCTCGTATCCATTGTAACACTGGTTACGCTGGAAGAACGAGACTTTTCGATATCTTTTACTTCAACATCTTTTACGTGTGCAATGTCTTCGGCAACGCTGGGTGATTTCAATTTATCGGCCACAACTTTTTGTTCGATTGATACGCTCGTCACACTCGGAGAACGAGACTTGTCCATATCCTTTGCCTCAACATCCTTTACATCGGCAACGTCACCAGCAATGCTGGGTGATTTTGATTTGTCAATCGCAGGTTTTGCATCCACTGTAACACTCGTTACGCTAGGAGAACGAGACTTCTCGATTTCTTTTTCGTCCGAAATGTCTTCAGCAATGCTAGGTGATTTCGACTTGTCACTTTCGACCTTTGGTTCCATAGTTACACTCGGTACACTTGGAGATCGAGACTTCTCGATATTTTTCGCATCAACATCCTTTACATCTACAACCTCATCGGCAATGCTAGGTGATTTTGATTTCTCGGTCTCAACTTTTCGTTCCATTGATACACTCGTCACACTGGGAGAGCGAGGCTTATCCACACCTTTTGTCTCGACATCCTTCACGTCCGAAGTGTCTCTAGGAATGCTAGGTGATTTCAATTTGTCGGTCTCAACTTTTGGTTCCATGGATGCACTCGTGACACTTGGGGAACGAGATTTTTCAATATCTTTTGCCTCAACATCTTTTACATCTGCAACCTCACCGTCTATGCTGGGTGATTTCGATTTCTCCGTTTCAACTTTTGATTCCACTGAGACGCTAGTCACGCTGAGAGAACGCGACTTCTCCATATCTTTTGCCACAACATCTTTTTCTTCTGCAGCGTCACCAGCAATGCTGGGGGATTTCGATTTGTCGGACTCAACTTTTGGTTCCATGGTTACACTCGTCACACTGGGAGTACGAGACTTTTCTATTTCCTTTGCTTCAACATCCTTCATATCTGCATCACTAGCAACGCTGGGTGACTTAGATTTGTCGGTTTCAACTTTTGTATCCATTGTGACACTCGTTATACTGGGAGAACGAGACTTCTCGAGATCCTTTGCCTCGACATCCTTTACATCCACAACGTCACCAGCAATGCTGGGTGACTTAGATTTGTCAGATTCAGCTTTCGTATCCATTGTAACACTGGTTACACTGGAAGAACGAGACTTTTCGATATCTTTTGCCTCATCATCCTTTACGTGTGCCATATCTTCAGCAATGCTAGGTGATTTCGATTTATCGCTCTCAACTTTTGGTTCCGTTGATACACTCGTCACACTGGGAGACCGAGACTTCTCAATTTCTTTGTCCCCAACATCTTTCAAGTCTACAGCATCTCCGGCAATGCTAGCTGATTTCGACTTATCGATTTCAACTTTTGATTCCATTGTTACACTGGTTACACCAGGTGAACGGGATTTCTCGATATCTCTTGCCTCAACATCCTTTACATATGCAACGTCATCGGCAATGCTAGGTGATTTCGATTTATCTGTCTCAATTTTTGGTTCCATTGTTACACTCGGTACACTAGGAGAACGGGATTTCTCGATATCTTTTGCTTCGACATCTTTTATGTCTACAACCTCGCCGGCAATGCTAGGTGATTTTGATTTATCGGTTTCAACTTTTGGTTCCATTGTTACACTCGTTACACTAGGAGAACGGGATTTCTCGATAGCTTTTGCTTCCACGTCTTTTATATCTACAATCTCACCGGCAATGCTAGGTGATTTCGATTTATCAGTCTCAACTTTTGGTTCCATTGTTACACTCGTGACACTGGGAGAACGGGACTTGTGGATATCTCTTGCCTCAACATCCTTTAGGTCAGGTGTTTCGCCAGCAACGCTCGGTGATTTTGATTTATCCGGTTCGACTTTCGCTACGGTTGGTATGCTCGTTACACTCGGAGATCTAGATTTTTCTCTATCTTTCCCCTCAATATCCTTCACATCAGCTCTATCCCCATCAACGCTCGGTATTTTCTTTTTCTCGGTTTCATCTTTCGAGTCTGCCGATATACTTGTGCTACTGGAAGATCGTGATTTCTCAACATCTTTTGCTTCAACTTCTTTCGCGACTACAACCTCATCAGAAATGCTGGGCGACTTTGATGCATCGGATTCGTCTTTCCGTTCGACGGGCGTACTAGTTATGCTTGGGGATCTGGATTTTTCGATATCTTTTTCTAAAACATCCTTCATATCGGTCGCTTCACCTGCCACGCTTGGTGATTTTGACTTATCCGCTTCTGTTTTCGGCTCTATTGGTGCTGTCGTTACACTGGGAGTCCTAGACATCTCGGTATCTTTGGTTTGAACTGCTTTTATATCTACCTCGTCACCAGCAATACTCGGTGATTTTGACTTATCTGGTTCGACCTTCTGTTCTACTAATTCACTCGTTACACTAGGAGATCTAGACTTTTCTCTGTCTTTCGATTCAACATCTTTAATGTCTGGCACCTCGTCCACGATACTTGGTGATTTTGATTTATCAGGTTCAACTTTCGTTTCCACCGGTGCAATTGTTATACTAGGAGATCTAGATTTCTCGGTATCTTTCAGTTCGACCTCTTCTATATCAGCCCCGACAGCAGTTATGCTGGATATCTTTGACTTATCCGGCTGTTCCTTCAATTCCATTGATATACTTGTTACGCTCGGTGTTCTAGATTTCTCGGTTACTTTTGTTTCAGCTTCTTTTATATCGACTAGGTCATCAACAATGCTCGGTGACTTTGATTTTTCGGATGAATCTTTCGTTTCCATTTCGTCTGGAATGCTCGGTGTCTTGGACTTGTCTAATTCATCCTTCTTCGCATCCGTTGTAACACTTGTCACACTGGGTGATCTGGGCTTGCCAATTGTCATTATATCAATGTCTTTCGTCTCAAAGGCACTGGTCGGTGATCTAGAAGTATCTTCGGTAACTTTAAGCTCTTCGCTGGGACTCGCTACGCCCGGTGTCGTAAATATTTCACGAGACGGCGGGCTGGCTTGTTTTATAACGTCCGTTTCGACTTTCGATATTTCAATTGATTTTTCCTCGGCATCCTTTAAATCGGCTTCTTTACTCGGGATTGATATTTCTCTCGACAAATCATCCAACTCTGTACGGCCTTTAATTTCTTCTTCGCTGTCTCGAATGCTTCTATCGGGCGATTTCTCTTTCGGCTTTTCATCTTTACTTATAACGCGTTCTTTATCTTCATCGGCAGCATCCGGTGTGATGAGTTTTTCTGATTCTGGCATTTCAAACGAAATTGCCGTGGTTGATTTCGATATATCAGCGGTAATTCTGAAATCTGTCGATGTTGCTACTTTCTCCGCAGATTTATCGGTAGTTAGGATTGGAAGCTCGTCCTTAACAATTATATCAGTCTGTTCAATATCGGGAGATTTCTTTAATTTATCAGTTGTATCCGTTTCGATCGGTAACATTGCTACGTCTTTCAATTCGATGTCTCTTTTCTCGCCAACTACGGCTGACTTATCCATCGGTGTAATTACCGGCTCTACATCTTTTATATCGGCCGAAATTTCAATCGTCTCTGCTAATTTATCCGTGGGAGATTTGGCAAAAATAGTCTCTGCCGGTGAAACGTCTTCCGACCGAACCGACTCCGGTGATTTTAAAGCTCCTATTTCGAGAACTTTTTTACGAGTTTCTACATCGGTAGCCAACCTTTGTTCAAACGATGCTGATTTCTCTACAGCTTCCATCATCAGTTTTCCAGCGTCTTTGCTAACTGGAGGCACTTTGCCAACAGTGTCGTCAATTTTCTCGGTTATCGATAACTCCGAAGACGGTAGCTCCTTCTTTTCTGCAATTTCAACAACGCTGCTGGCCACATCCTCCAGAAGAATTTGTTTCGGTTGCTGCGGAGACTTGGCAATTTGCGCATCTATAACAGGGGGAGAAGTTTCCATTTTCTCTAAACTGTCGTCGAAATCGCGGGAATCACGGGAATCACGGGAATCACGAGCGTCAATTGGCGACTTATCCAAACTGTCTTCGGGCGTTACTTTTCCAATGTCCTTTCTCGACGGTGACTTGTCGGAAATGCTGTCTTTCTCCGGGCTACTTATCCCCGAGTGCAGAGAATCCTTATCCAGAAGCAAAGAGTCTTTGTCAGGCGTTGTTTTTACGGATGTCTCTTTAAGAGAATCATCGGGTGTGACGGTTTTCGGAAACGCGATAGTACCGGTTGCGCAAATTTCCGTTTCATGTCCACCGTCCTCGCTACTCGCTGTAACCAACATTCGTCGAACAGATCCCGCCGTATCTTCCTCGATCTCTGATTTTTTCTTTTCCACTTCTTTAGCGGTAACTCGTATCTCCGTAGATAAATCGCTAATAATTTCACGTTGGACCGTTTTCTTCGAAGAATCCATCAGTTTCTCTTCTTTCGGAGATATCGCAGGTTTCTCCCCCTTTTCCTCCTTTTCCTCCTTTTCCACCTTTTCTTCTTCTGCCCTTTTTAATTCTCCCTCTTTCTGCATTTCTTCGAATTCTTCTTTATCGGTAACATGGTCTGTTTTCAAAATTTTTCCTTTCTCCGTCGTATCTCGCTTGGCAATGGCATCCACTGTTTCTTCCGGCAATTCTTTAATCCCTATCGTTTTATCCGTGGTAACTGCTTCCTCTAATTTCTCCTCCGTCTTCTCCTTAGCTTCGTCCAGATATTTTTCTACGGTATCGAGAGTTTCCTTTATCGCCTCCTCTTTGTCCAATGAAATAACGGCTCTTACGGTATCTACCGATAATTCGTCCTTTTCTCCTTTCTCCTTTGTCTCGTGAACAAATTTTTCATCGGCCTCGATAACCTCGCTCGTGGTATCTTCCACCGCTTCTTCCGCGTATTCTCGTGCTTTCGATTCCTCGTCCGATTTTCCGGAAATCTCTTTCACGGCCGACGTGTCTTTCAACGAGCTAACCGTTAAATCCTGCACTTTGTATTCCTGTTCGACAGCCTCAAAATCGTCCATGATATCCTTCTCGTGCTTTTTCTCCATAATATCTTTTACAGTTTCCGGCTTGACAGATGCCATTAACGCTTTCTCATCCACCACCACCGTATCTTTCGAAATTTTTCTACCGATACTAACGAACCCATCTTCTTCTATATCTTCCTCCAGCACATCTTCCTCCTCCTCCTTCTCCTCCTTCTCCTCTTTCGCTACTTTTACTTTTTCCATTTTCAACAACGATTCCGTTTCTCTTTCTTTACGCAACTCGCTTTCCGATTTTGCAATTGGTATCGCTTCGACCACCTCTTTCTCCTTCTTTTCCTTTTCTTCTTCTTTTCTTTCCGCTTCTGCCTCTTCTTTCTCTTCTTCCTTCTTTCTTTTATCGTCTAATACAGTTTGATCTATCTGTGAATCAAAGAGGCCATCCGTAGGAACATGGATCAACTTTTTAACGATAATTTCCTGAATGATACGAATAACGATCGTTTTCGGCACGATTTTCTTCACCGAAATTTCTTCCACGATTTCGATAGTTATACATTTTCCTTTTGTAACATATTCGTTAATAATGTACTCCTCGAGCTCCATTCTCAGCCGAGGTGTAATGGATTCTTCGAGTTTTAACGTGTCTACATTATCCACCACATCTTCCTTCGCAAGTCCTTTCCTAATGATAATCTCCTCGATGATGTAAATTACACGCTCCCTCGGTATACATTTAACTGTTGTAATATATTCTATAATTTCAATGGTAATTCTCTTCTTTTTCGTTACAAGCTCTTCGATAATTTCTTCCACCATACGATCCACCTTATCCACGATAGCTTTCACCTCGGACGGGAATCCGATAGAGGTAACAACTTCTTTACTCGGCTCCGCTTTACTCTCGGCTTCGTGCATCTTATCCGTTATAAATTTCGGCGAGGTTGGTGTCGAACCAGGCGAGACCATTACGATTTCTGCTTTCGCGGGAGAAATCTTTTGATCGAAACCAATCACCGACTCTTCTATCCCAGCTCCACCAACTTGCGTCTCGTCCGTTGCGATCGTCGTTTTTACTTCTTCTTTCACGCATATCTCTTCCGCTGCGGGCTTGGTTAGCTCTATCTTGGAAGGTACAGACACAACCTCGCAAACCATCGAATCTTTCTCCTCCTTTAACATTTCGTCGCAAATTTCTTTAACCTCGCGTTTATCCGTTTCTTTTTCTTTCGGCGATATGATCGGCTCTGCTTCCTTCACCACTTTCACGCATGGTTCTTCGATCGATTCCGCCACGAGTTCTTCCGTTTCTTCTTGATAAGGAGACATTTCTTCGGTAATGCCAACTTTGGTCGGCATCACCGCAATCTTATCGGCAATTTTCTCCAATTTCTCATCGTACGGTAACGATTCGGTTACTCCATCTTCGATTACAGTTTCAACCACGTCTTGCTCGCTCGTCATTACCGGCGATTCTTCTTTCTTTTCTATCATGGTCGACTCTTTAAATAATCCTTTACCCGAAAGGAAATCGTCCTCTTCTTTCAACACTTGTGCTACCTCTCGCACGATTTTGCTAACGTCCCTAGATTTGTCTTCGATATCGATACCAGCCGTTCCAGCTAGCACCTCACCGACGTCTCGTACAGCTTCTTTAACGTCTTTTACAGGTCCTACGGTTATTTCGAAATCTTCGTCTCTCGGTATGTCAAATTTCACTTTTTCCGGCTCCTTGCTATCAGGTGACACGCTTTCCATCTGCGGCTTTATCGCTTCCAACTTTTCCACTACGCCTTCCAGCGTATCTTTAACCACATCCTTCACCGGTAAAACCTCTCGTGGCAGATCCACCGTTTCCTCACTGCCGATCTTCTCTACCAATGATTCCAAAGAATCTCTCAGACTGTCCTTTACCGTCTTAAATTTCTTCGAGGCTTCCTCTAATAGCGCCTTTATCTCTTCCGCGTCTTCCTCCACGCCTTCCATCAACTGCTGCTGCTGCTGCTCTGCCTCCTTTTCCTCCTTTTCCTCCTCCTCCTCCTCCTCCTCCTCCTCCTCCTCCTCCTCTTCCTTCACTACCTCCTCCTTCTCCTTTGCCGCTTCCTTCTTCTCCTCTTCCTTCTCCTTCTCGACTATTCTTCTCGCGTCTTCCTTCGATATATCCTCGATAAGAGCAACATCTTTCGTCTCGTCTTTGCTCGGTTTCGCTTCGCCCTTGGACGCAATTATTTCATCCTCTGTAATTTTCGATACAACTATCTTTTCGCTGCTTTCTTTCTCCATTCCCGCCACTTTCTTTTCATCCTCCGTAGCCTTCTTCTTCTCGAGCATCTCAAGATCGGGCACATGGTCGTCTTTCGTAACAAAGGTCACCGCTTCCTCCATGATTCTCGCTTCTGCTACCTCTGGGATGGCTACGCTTTCCTGTATCTTCTCGCTACTAGGTTTGCCGACTTTGGGGAACATTTTCTCAACATCGACCTCTTCGAGAACGCTTTTCTCTTGTACCTTCGCCTCTTTCGGCGAGCTAGATTTCGACGAAGACTTTTCCTCCGTTTCCTTCTCTGGTTCCTTCTTTGATTTTTTAGTCAACTTGTCGATACCTTTTTCAAACTTGTCGGCAACCTTGCCGAAGAAACTGAAGACACCTTTTTGTTCCTTAACTACCGGTGGCGTAGGTGGCTCTTTCATCACCTCTTGCGGTTGCGGTTGCGGTTGCGGTTGCGGTTGCGGTTGCGACGGCTTTTCCTCTTTCATCTTCTCAAAGTCCTCCATTCTATAGAATTTCGGATCAACCTCCTCGTGGACGGGTAAATCGGCAACTTCGTCCGGTGTTTTCACGATATCGCGTTGCAAACTTTGCATAGCTTGGCGAACATCGAACACCTGAACATCCGGCTTGACAGTTGCGGTAGGAGGTAGGACTCGCGAAGCAGCGGTAACCACGGCGGCAACCTCAGGCGGAGCGATCTCTTCTTTATCCTTGGGCGAGATATCCTTCTCTTTCACTTCTTCCACGATGTGTTTCTCGTCCATGTCCTCCTTTATCTCGTCCAGGGGTATACGCTCATCTTCCGGGAGTGTCGGTGCGGTTGTCGTTGCCCCAGATTCCAAAGTCGAGATACGTTCTTGCGATTCCTCATATTTCTCCGGCATTTGTTCCTTTTGATCGGCTTCCGGCTTCAAATCGGTATCGGTGGTTTTCTTTTCGGACGAATCTAATTTGTCCGGGCTGAAACTCGACGGTTCCTTGGTAATCTCCTCGCTATCCTTTTTACCCGAATCGTCTTTCTCCTCCGGTTTCTGTTGTATCGATTCCGCCGCGGAGGCAATTATGTCTTTCACCTTTTCCTCCAACTCTTCCCTACGGCCCGGCGACAAATCGATCGGCTCTGCTCCTACTCCCTCCTCCACCTCCTCCACCTCCTCCTCTTCCACCTCTTCCACCTCTTCCACCACTTCCTCCTCCGCCGCCGCCACCTCCACCTCTTCCGCAGCTTTCAACGATATCCTCGATTCTTTCCGTTCCGACTCGCGTTTCTCCACGCTCTCGTCCTTCTCTTTCTCCTCCACTTCTTCCTCCGCACCTTTCTCTTTCACCAGTTCTATATCCTTCTTCGACATCTTTACCTTCTCCGATTCGGCCTCGTCCAAGATATGCTTCTGTTCACCCTCGCCGCTCTGAGTAGAATCCTCTATATAATCTTCTTCCTTCTCCACGATCAAATATTCCTCGATCAATTCTCTCTTCAACGCATCTTCCATATCGGTCTCGATTATGTCGTCGTCCGTGATATCCTCCTCCTTTTTATCGGTAAGTTCCGCAGTGATTTCGTCGTCTCCCTCCGAACGATCCTCTTTTCGCGTCTCCTCGATACGTTCCGCCTTTTGAAGCACCGCCTCGATCTCCTCCACCACTTCTCGTTCCTCTTTCAAATCAGCCAGCACCTTACTCTCGATCGAATCCAACGATATATCTTCCGAACGTTCCATTAAACTCTTCTCCACGATCCTTGCCCCTGTCTCCGCTTCGATTCCAGACGGTGTGGATACCGTGGACGAGTCCGCGGTACCTTTCTCGCTCTTCGCTTTACGAGTAACTACGCCGTCCTTGTCGGATTTAACCGATGTCGTTGGCGTGCTACGAGTCGATTTCGCTGGACTACCGGATACCCGCACTTTACTCGGGCTAACAGGTTTCCCCCGACGACCGATCGGTCTTCTCTCCATTGGCTTCGCTTTCGCCGGCGCTTTAACCATTCCGGTCATCGCCCCGCTACCAACGCCGCTCCTATCCTTTATCGCCGATTTCTCGATATTCTTTAGCTCCACTACTTTCCTGTTATTCGCATCTTTCGCGCTTTTCGCTGGCGGTGCCACGCCAATTTTCTGCCCGGCCGGTTGAACTTTACCCTTAGGTGGTATACTCGCCTTCGATATTTCCGTTTTCGTCGCCACACCGTTAACCATCTTCTTCGGTGTCGTCGGTGAGGATTTCGCCGTGTCCTTCTTCTCTATCGGCGACTGTTTTGCCCTCTTCTCCACGAGCTTTGCCTTTCCCGCTGCCTCCGTTTTACCAGGCTTGCCAACCCCACCAACCCCACCAACCCCGCCAACCCCCTTCGTATCTCTCTTCTTCGTTCTCTCTTCCGCCGTTCCACCACTCACCACCTTTCCTTTCGTTTCCTTCATCGGCGGGCCAACTGCCACCTTATCCGTCGTCGTTTCCGACTTGCCCTTCTCCGGCTCTATCTTCTTCTCTTCCTCCAGCTTTTCCTCCGACTTTTCCCTTTGCTTCTCCAACTTTCCCACGCCCTCCTTCTTCCCAACATCCTTCTTCCCAACATCCTTCTTACTCTCTTTCACCTCCTTCCCTTCCACTTCTATTCTCTTGTTCTCCACCGCCTTCTTACTCTTCGCCTCGGCTTTAACCGCTTGCGTAGGCTTGGTAGGTATTATCGGTGTACCCTGTGTTACGCTCTTTGGCGGCGATTCCTCGCCACCGCCTTTCACCGTTCGCATCTCCGGCGATTCCTTCTTCTCCTTTTTCGCGTCCACCGACCCGACCAACTTCTTCGAAAGAACCGGTTGTTCTTTCTCGATCAGGCCCAACTTTTGTTTCGTCGGTTTATCGCGCAACGTCGCCAACGAAGCAGACGGAGAAAGGCTCTTGGCCGAACAGACCGGATGCTTGAGGAACTCCAAGTGTTTCAATCGTTCGAATCCTTCGAAAATCCTGTGCTGCGGTGTACTACCGGGAAACAGAATTCTCGTAATAGTATTCTCCGGGTTAGCCGGCTGCCAGACCAACAGCGCGCATATCGATACCAAATTCTGTATCGGGAACGTTAAATTGTTCGAATCTTTCTTATGGCTACCAGCGAACAATTTCGAGTCCGAGGTATGCCATTTCGCCAAAAATTCTCTCACTTCGCGAGTATCCTTACTCGGACTTAACACGTACATATCCAACGTGCCATGACCCACTTTGTGATAGAGGTTGATCGGATCCGGATCCCTGTAGCATGGATGCGCTCGAAGACTGATGTGACGCAAATTCACCACCATCTCTTGACCGATGTCGGTCAGATTCAAGATCAGAGGATCGATATCTTTGTCCCCGTCCGGTGAATTGGACTGTCTTCTCTCCTGTTTCGCCAACAGACAATAATTTCATAAGCCAAAGTATATTCTTCCTGCTTGTCATTGTCGTTGTCGTTGTTAACGTTGTCGTTGTTAACGTTGTCGTTGTTAACGTTGTCGTTGTTAACGTTATCGTTATCGTTATTGTTATCGTTATCGTTATCGTTATCGTTATCGTTATCGTTACCGTTACCGTTCCCGTTACCGTTACCGTTCCCGTTACCGTTCCCGTTACCGTTCCCGTTACCGTTCCCGTTACCGTTCCCGTTACCGTTCCCGTTCACCTTCGCGTTAATGTTCAATTACACGACGGGTAAACGCGACAACGGATAAACAGCTTCGTTGATAGATTAAACTAGAGCTAATCCAACTAATACTTACGACTAGATTGCAGAAGAAGTGTCCGATTTGAGGATAAACGTGCATCTCTTTCTTTTTACGAAGAACACTGGACATGCCTCCGACATTGCTGTTATTTATTCTAGTAACCAAGACCGCATCCAGGCGGTCCAAATGTCTCGTAAAGTCCCAGAAACAGGCCTTTCTAGCAAAACCACCGTCCACCAACATATTAAAACCGTTTATGCCGAAGAGAGCGGCATCACCTTGGCCACCAGGGAAGACGTATAACGTTGGATGACTGAATCTTATGTTGCCTACGACATCGGACGGTTCCATAAGTTGATCCAGTGTCTGAGCCACGAGATACTGTCCAACGTAATTCGTAAAACTCGTAATTGCTGGCAATCCAGCGGTAAGAACGTCATCGGGATTTACTCTGACACGGCATGGTCTACAATACGGGAAACAGACACCATTATCCATGCAATTATCTCGCTATAGTATCTCGCATCTCGCTCTAGTTTTATAAAAATACAAACTTTCTTTACTACTAACACTCTGTTAACCACGATACAAAGTCAAAACAAAGAAAACACCTACCTGGTACAAGCTTCTTTCGATAATTTATTTGTTGTCCAATCGCCAACACTCGCGCAATGTATGTCCACCGTAACACTGTTCTCGTACGCGCGAAGAACTCTTTGTACCTCGTGTTCGCTGAACGCGTCGAGAAAATCGGCAAGGCTAAAGGTTCCATCCTGGTGGACAATTTCAACAACGTTATACTTTATTTCACTGAAAATTCTACACGTTATACCTACTAAATCTACTATTCTTTCCAACTAATTCGCCTACGAATTGATAATAAAACTTGCGAGAAGATTACGAATACACTGTAATAAAGTGTTGGTCTGCGGGTGGATAAGAACTTCGGTAACAAGATTTTCGGTAGCGTATTGGATCAGTCGTTCACCTAAAAATTCATTTCTATCATCCAACGAAACAATTTCTAATTATTATATGCTATATCGGAATAGCAAAGTATTCTATATATATTTCATTAATTAAAAATATTCATCTCATTACCATTTCTAGCTTCTTCTCCTTCGGGAGCTTGTGTTACCAACGCCAGTAATTCTTTTTCTAAATCTACGTGACAGCTATCCTTATCCCATGACAGGAAACCTGAAACGCGAAATTACCAACAAAAGATTATACAAGATTCATAAAGATCGGTATATCCGTATTAATCGTATATTGTTCAAGATTGTCAATTTAAAAAACTTTCAGCAAGAAAGCAGCTGCTTTCCTAAGGAAAGATCATTTCTCTTCAGACATACACGGGTTAAGTTCAACGTTATTTATAAACCGAACAACAGATTTTTCTCCTTCTTTTCGATATACCATTCGTACAGATATCTATTTAGATATAATATGTAAATTTACAAACTGAACAAATATAAAGTGTACTTGAATCTGTGTGTCTTTCATCCTAATTTCATCCTAATTTCATCCTAATTTCATCCTAATTTCATCCTAATTTCATCCTAATTTCATCGCAATTTCATCGTAATTTCATCGTTATCGCGACCCAAGACAAAGGTAAACGATCGAAATAATGGGGCTATAACGTGGTACGTAACTATCTAAGAATTTCTGCACTAGTTTGGCTTCTTGGTAAAGCGAGGATGCTGGTTCAGGGCTGAATAATGTAAGGTGAAGGTTAAGAAATCGAGAATCGTCTTCTTCTCGGATCTCCACAGTCACCAATTCGATTAATTCCATTAACTCGATTAACTCGATTAACTCGATTAACTCGATTAACTCGATTAACTCGATTAATTCGATCGATTCCATCGATTCGAGGTATAAAGAATTTATTACAACGAATAATCGCATTTTTCCTATATTATTTCGTAGAAAAATAGATCCACGTATTCTGTCATTTTCCTTTGCTATACGCGTATTCCCATCTTCATCGCGTCTCCTTCTTTTTCTGCTTTTCTTTTCCTTTCCTTTTTCCTTTTTCCTTTTTCCTTTTCTTCTTTCATCCCCTTCCCTTTTTCCTCCTTTCTTGCAGCCAGTTCGACAATATCATGATGTAACAATGTAAGAAATTCCATCCCGACCACAAGATTTCTCGATAACTTAAAGGAATAAAAAACGATGATCAGCCGAATTTAACGAGATTAAACGAACCAAACTATCCATTCAACGATCAAAGTAAAGAAGAACAAAAGGAGAAGGAAGAAAGAAGGAAGAAAGAAGGAAGAAAGAAGGAAGAAAGAAGGAAGAAAGAAGTAAGAAAGAAAAAGAAGAATATGTCGATACCACGAATGAGGCAGGAGTTCTATGACGTCATGAATACCGCACCCCGTCACGTGGTTCCGCGGTAGCCGGCAATCGATCGCACATCCTGCACCCACACTCTATTGCCATCTCTGTTACCCGTTATTTTATCTCTTGTGCGTAAAACGGCCCAACCAACAGTTATCCATTTAAAAGATACAGATGAACATAAAACGAATTATTACATATTACGTACGTGTTATGTTTCCCAAGTTTCCGTGCCTATGTTTCCCCTAAGTCGAAAAGAAAAATGAAAACTACAACACCATTGTCTACTAATCCTAACTAATCCTAACTAATCCTAACTAATCCTAACTAATCCTAACTAATCGCAAATAATCGTAACTCGCTCACCGCGTTATACCGGATATACGAATGTAATTTTTATTATAAGGTAAACGAATAAGACGAAAAAGCTGTGCGTTTTTCATTTCTTCCAGCTGATTCGAATGATCGACGATTGGTGCACAGCGCGATTGCCAAGACATTTTAAACTCTTGTCGCGCACCCGATTCTTTTAACACACTGAAAAACCTAAGGAAAAAAACGACTTTTTTGAATTTTTCATTCATTTTCATATACTTTCATATAGTCGTGTAATCGATCGTAAGCTGTCCATGAAAAATACGACTCATGTCTTCCTTATGTTAAGAACACGTTACACGTAGGTTAATTAAACCTACATTTCTAAACCCCACTACCAGCGATATAATCACATAACTATAATTCCTTCGAATCGCTTAACTTGTCACGTTGAACCACAGAACCAGCAAATTCTCTATGTCAAATTGATCGGAAGCCCTGACGATGATACAAGAGAAGCCGTGCGTCGGGGGTCGTGCCTTTTAATGCGTGACGACCCATGCACATTTTCTTTACCATATATCTACATCTACGTGTACCCGCGTATTTAGTAGTGCGAACGATTATCAAGTGTTTACATGGTCTTCAACCTAGGTGTGAAAGCAAATTCGTATGTACGCGATTCGAATACAGAACATTTCTGGAATATTCGAATAAACGTAACAATCCTAACTATTTAGAGAAATGTTTCTCGATAAACGAAATGCCATTGATATTTCGTAAAACCAGTAACACCAGTAAAACCAGTTCATGGTTCATATTCTCCAGAAAGGATGAAAACCTGGAGAAAAAGGAGAAGAAGGAGAAAACCTCTACTCCGCGTTCATGCTTCATAGACATGTTCTACTTAAAAACTGTGGCAGTTGAAGATTAAAGGTTAAATATAGATAGAATCGTGGCTTTCTTCGTAGAAATATTTAACCCTCTTCTATTCTTATAGTATTCTTATAGTATTCTTATAGTATTCTTATAGTATTCTTATAGTATTCTTATAGTATTCTTATACATCATAGAATCTGATAATCTTCTAGTATTCTTATAGAATCTTATAAACCCATCGCGCTTTTCCATCTGCTACTCTAATTTCCTTCCATTTCCTTCCATTTCCTTCCATTTCCCTTCTTCTATTCCTATATCTCCTTTCTACTCCATTTTCATCTTCTTTTCCATTTTATTCTCATTTTCAATCTCTTTCTTCTTTTCCTTTCGCTCTTCCTTGACGACAGATACTAAGAACGTTTCGGTTGCCCCAACTATGTTTAGACATGGTTCCCCGTTGTCCTTCTTCCAACTTTCCCCTCTCTTAATCCCTGCCTTTTCGATACGCGTGTAAATTATATTAGCGAAAAAATTCTTATAACATCACTCACAGCACACACACACACACACACACGTGCGCGCGTAATTCGTCTATTCATGTATATACGTCGTATGTATATATAATAAATGTACAATTATATATACAACTCGCTATGCATTAAACGAACGCAACCAATTACCGATATATATCCGCCAAACGATACACGATGAAAAACTCGAAAACATGAAAACAACGAAACATTCTAACAAGAGATATCCTTTGGATCGCGACCGCGATCTTTACGAGAGTGCAATGTAAAAGCTTTTGTTGTCTAACAGGGTCAAAAAGTTTCTTCGAAAACTGCTGACATCGTTCTTCGTTCGTTCTTCGTTCGTTCTTCGTTCGTTCTTCGTTCGTTCTTCGTTCGTTCTTCGTTCGTTCTTCGTTCGTTCTTGATTCATCCCCTGAGAGAATGAACACATCGAACGAGGTCGATAGGGAATTGTTATTCTAACCTGTTTCGATCACAAGTCGTTATAATAGCTTATCGTTATAATAGCAATCTCCTAAAATTGAATAGAAATGGAAAGTGAAAACTCTCTTTCTCTCTCTAATCGTCAAATCGTTTCGTATAATTTATTAAGTTTAAAAGCAATGCGCAATTAAACGAATAAACTAACCGAAGTAATCAATATTTCAACGGACACGAACTTGATAGAATAGCACAGAGATCGACCTGGCTCGTCCGTGGCTATTTATATTTTTAAGAGAAGGGCGAAGACCTGATCCAAGGATTTGTTAAAGACGAGACCGAGATTTATTTCTCACCGTGTTTCATTTCATTTCATCGATAACTAATCACATCTTCCGAACCTGCATTTTAACTTATTTTTTATTATTTATTATTATTATTATTATTATTATTATTATTATTATTATTATTTAAATCAGCTATCCAATATATCTCCAATGAACAATTTTTAGTTTTAAACGATGAACAATTTTTAATCGAAATCATCCTATTTCACGTATGGTAGATGCGCATACGTAAAATGTAACCGATGCAATGAAAATTTGGATGCAAACGTTGAGACGGAAGTAGACATTGTACGACATATAAAGTCATACCTTTGCTAAAGTAAAACAGCGAACAGTCTCGAAATAAAATAGCAAAATTGTTATGCGGTTACATATGTAACTCTATCGCAGCAATGTCTTCGTCCACGATAACTAGCAATAGACGTAGAAAAGAAAGGAAAGAGAAGGCGAGAAAAGAGAGAAGATAAAAAAGAAAGAATTACAAAAATTAACCAAAGTAGCAAAACAATGACCAACGACATTTTTACCTCGAAACTTGACGATTATCAATCAATGGTAAGTATGTTATTTGGTGTAAGGGTCAGGTTCAAGAACAAGCTAATCGAGAAACAGAGTTTCACGACTGGAAGAGCTCGATGCACGAAAGAGCAAATCACCAGCGAATGCCACGTTAAAATTAGACACACTATATTCAGTTGCGCGTACCGCGAAATTCTATGTCGTCCCGAAAATTTACTAAATATCGTGTTGTTCGATGATCGTATCGATGAATGATCGTATTAAATTCCGTATGAAATGTAACGATGAAACTTCCATATCCTTACATGTTCGATAATATTATGCGCCAATTATCCGTCAATTATTCGTCAATTATCCGTCAATTATCCATCAACTATTGAGAATTTCCTTCATTAACATAGTACAAACTAAAATTGAAAAAATTGAAAAAATTGAAAAAATTGAAAAAAAAGTTCACGCATCTATTCCACATTGCTCAAAGAAATTAACGCACATTAACGACATACCGGGTCGATTACTTGAAGAAATTGACACTCGATATAAAAATTGTCGTCGCGATGAAATAGAAAAAGATTAAAGGCATAGAAAACACGCGAAAAAGACAGAAGCACGTGCACAACGCGCATGTAAAATATAAATACCGTAATATGTGCTTGGAAAAGCATGCATGTAAATTTCACCGTTCGATTCAATGGAACCCTCTATATACGCGAGTTCTTCCGGATATTACAACCATCGAATAACTTCAACTTTCGCGATGCTCCCCACACGTCCTCAATCATGATTCATACCGACAAGTATGCCTTCCTATCTTACGTATGTGTGGTTACTCGTACAATATCTGTAAATACACGCGCATACACGTACTTGCACAAGCATTATCATATTAATCTTTTATCGCCATATTACCATATATTACCTCCCGTTGAATATTCACGTACGTTGGCTCACACACGTTCGTACACGCCCTTTAGAAAAATTATCAATTTCTACAATATACATGCATACATACATGCATACAAACCTACATACGTACGCGTATCGCATATAAGTGACGGTATAGCTGAAATTTGTGTACTACTGAAATTTCAAGTGTCGTACAATATATTCCTCTCTGTTCATTCTTATCAAAATTTCATTTTTTCAAATTTAAATTTGTATTTACGTGTGTATTTGCAAACATGCTGTATTTATACCTATTCGCGTTTTAACCCTAATTAAATGTAAACCGTGAGCAAAACACAACACAATGATCAGATTATCATGGACAGGTCACCATTGCAGGTAGCTTAAAATAAGTACACGAATGAATTCGTGTCTCGCCTCCTTTCCGCTCTACCAATCCTTCCTCTAATGTATGTATGTATGTATGTATGTATGCATATACAAGGGGCAACCCATGAGTCACATAAAACTTGCTAACGCATTTCCACCATACTCGTCGCATACAAAATCATCCATATGTACGCACGCACTCACGTTTAGAGGATGCAAGAATTTACAAGTAATAGCCAAATCAGAATTCCAAAGTGTCTTATCTTATATCTTTCCATTGAAATTTCTTAAAGATTAACATAGCGATTCATTTTTTTAACATTCCAGATAATATATTCAAATTTCACGTGTTCTCTGTAATTGAAATATCACATTATTTACCTCTGAATGCTTTTTCTCTCCTGTACAAATATAAATATCCTCTATAAATATAAATAAGAATGATAAATAATAATAATAAAGAAACGACCGTTTGGTTTGTAAAAGTTAACTTAACCATTTTTAATCATTAATACAATTAGAAAATTCCAAATATTTTCAACCTGTCTTATTTCTTTTATCTAACCTTTCCCCTATCTTTCATCGCTATCTTTTCTATTCTACTCTATTCCTATTCTTCGCTTCTATACAACACGAGTATCATATACTTGCTTCGTTCAGTTATGTACAGGTCTCTGTATATTTCTGCATCAATCATTCGTTTAATTACATCGCGAAATAATTATCGAAAATTGTCATTATAGTTTAGAAACGATTTTCGTTACATACCGCGTGTAGATGGATTTTATTGATCCAAGTTCTGCTGACTGCAGGGATATGGCCATAGGCCGGTCTAACATGCGCATACCGCATCAAACTCGCAAATACTAGATTTTTCCCATCACTCCCTACTTTCCCTTCCTCCACATCCTCCATTTCTATTTCATTTTTATCCCCATATATTCTCCATCCCTGTTAATATTTGCATTATTTATATTCACGTTAATACCGCTATACGCACTTTATCCACGCTTCTCTTTATCTTCATTTCGACTTGAACATTTTTTTTTAATAATCCATTGCGCCGAAAGAAATTTTCATTTCTCTGTTAATCAATAAATCCTCTCGTTAAATCGACGCGAGAGAACGATGCGACCTACTTTTATACCTACATATACATATATCTACGTGGTATAGGTTAGAATACATCTCTTCCATATTAATGCAACATCTCGTTACGGTAAAATCTCTCCCCTATAATTTAGGGGAAGACCTCCCAAATTTTTCTAAAACTGGCTTCAGATGAATTAAAGATTCATTCTTTCTTTTTCAATAACATCTATAACGCGATATAGATATGCCGAGAAAATAGAATAAAGAGTAAAAAATTCTTCCCAAGTGATTCGAATTAAAGATTAAACGAATTAATTACGTAAATAATTTATTTTCTTCGCGCAGGAAAGTCATTCCGATGTGTATGTACATTTTACACACGCGCACAAGCACGCCCGCACACCCGCACACGCGCACACCCGCACACGCGCACACGCGCAAGTGAAGTAACAAAAAAGAAAGAAAAAGAAATATATGTACATATATGTATATATACATATATAAACGTATATAAAGAAATTTTGAATAATATTTATATGTAATATATAAAGATAATTTATTTAAATAATAGGAAAGTGAACTTGCAATTCCCATCGCGAATTGAGAAATTTGTAGAATTGTAATAATCCTTGAAAGTTGATAACCGAGAATTAACGACGAATAGAGGTACCACTCGATTTCCTTACTAATCAACGTCCGCTCAAACTCCGCCTAGCAACAAGAGGGGACCTATAAAGTTGTTGGTTAAGCTCGTCCGATAAATCGGAAGGAATACGCACAGCGAAGAAGAACCGTTAGCGCTTGGGTTCATGCGCGGAACTATGTGCGCTACTAAATATGTGAAATCATAATTGTAATCGCAACTTTAATTTTTAACGAAACGTTAAATGCTAAATTTTACATTCTAAAATCGATCAACAACGTTACACCCTGTTCATTAGCTAAATACATATTTCAAATCAAAGCTATTCCATTAAGATTGTACAAGAGTAGAAACATTTCAAGTCACACTTGTCGTGTGACACTTGTCGCGTGACAAGTAAAAGAATAACTTATTTTAATCGTTGCACGTGAATTGATTTACAACCTTCCTATGAATAGCGTATTTAGATTTTCCAAGAAATTTCGAAAGAATCATTGCTTCGGTAAAATTCTACTTACCTTTCGCAAGACGGTTTAAGATAAGATCTTTATGCTGCGCAGTATGAGGCTCTGGAAGCACAACAAGAAGGTAACAACCACTTAGTGGTGACGGTGGTGGATGCTGCTGTTGAGAGCTCGGTGGCACCGCACTACCGGTCACCGGTGTAACTGGAGATACATTTTGTTCAATGTTTGTCGATGATATTGTAGTCGTCACCCCTCCCCCTCCGCCCTCGCCGGTAGGATCCGTGGTACTCATTGCTAAAACAGAAAGGAAAGGGCCAAATAGTTAGTTTCCACGTATCACATCGCATACTTTCATCAAAAACTATTTCAACGACATTTACATAACAACATTCTGCTATTTTCGTATTACTTTTCTATTGCTTTCGTGTAAATATGCTATAGGAGCCAGTATATTTATTTCAAATCTCATAATACTCGAGCAAGAAAATTTCAACGTTCATCATCCCATATTAAATCATCCGATTGGCTCAACGCGCTATACCGTGCATTTAGCATACTCGTCGTTGCATGTTGTATGCATGACATAAATGCAACGTTCGTTAAATCAAAAACAAGTATGTATTAAAAAATGTTATATCGGATCTAAATCATTGCCCTTTACATTACTCCTCCACACCGATGGTACATTTATTTTTTCACTGCCGTTTTCACTATCGTCTTCAATTATAATGTTCAATTATAACATGCCAATAAATATTACAATATTAACGAAGAATCTCAATTATGGTTAATTCCATGTAAAACAGGGTAATCGAAAAACCATCGATTCTATTACCATTCATCTTAATGTAAACGTAATTGTACATTTAAAAGAATTCAAAGCTTACCGGAGCAAGAAAATTTCGAAGAGATTTTACGAAGAGGTCACCGCGTCGTCACACCGTGATTTCATGCGGACAGCGTTGGCGTTAAGTATTGCGCAGGATTTGTACGACCGACCCTTTCCCTGAAAAGCAGTAGGGCTATGTCCTATGGCCGAATGCGCAGGATCCGGCGTCTCCGTACAACCTTAGATCATTGATCCAAATTCGGGCTAGCTAACTACAAAACAGGGCATTAGGCACCTATCTTTAACCACGAATCTTTATAAAAAAAAAAAAACTTCTCTCTTTTCTTTCTCTTTTCTTTCTCTTTTCTTTCTCTTTTCTTTCTCTTTTCATTTTCCTCTTCCCTTTTTTCTATTCTTTCCCCATTTTTTCTTTTTAAAGGTAAGAAGTGTGCGCAACAACAAGCCCAGAATAGACGATCACTGGTCCTTGTTAAACGGACAATACGATAGTGTTACAAAATTTCAAAAATCTTTAATTATTATCCTCGTCGATGCGTTTCATCGGAAATATAAAAGGGAACAAATTTCTCGCACGTTTCTATTCTCCGGGCAATGTAACACTTTATTACACGACATTGGTGCGAAAGTGTCAAACGGTCACCCTATAGGTGAGTATCGGCACTGCGGTCTACCCCTTAGTAACAACCCCTCCCGCAGTCCGCCTAGCCGGCCGATAAAATCTATACACAGTTCGGGAGAATGTTATCAAAAAGTTTCCGTGAAATTTTAGTACCCTCTATTACTTTCGCATCCCATTAACGTCTACACAGAAAACAGCACAGAAACATTCGAAAAAAAAGTACTTTGTCCTCTTACCTTGTTACGTGACGTGATTGTATCCAGTTTTAATTTCTCGTTCTTTCGATATACGTGTGGTATATCCAGTAATGCTTTCCTCTCCACGGTAAGCGCAGTTTTCTGCGCTCACGAGAGTAAGTTATCCGTGAGGAAAATGTCGAAAACAGCCTCCGCCTCTTCGTAGTAAACGCGAAATTGTCTCCTTATTTCTTTTTCTTTCTTCTCTTTCTTTGCGTATGCGATGGTACGTTAAAAAAAAAAAAAAAAAAAAAAAAAAAAAAAAAAAAGAAAAAGAGGAAGAGAGGAGAGGAGATTCTAGGAGACAGTAAAAGGAGAGCAAACGGAGAGCGACAGGAGGCCGAGTATAGCAGTAGCTCGCGAGTAATACGGTGGCAAAGAGGGTGCGCGATGGAAAATTGTCGTTGGACACAGACGGCACTAAACGTAGATTGGAACAAAGACGAAATGTGTCCCTTTTATATCTCAAGACGAGTAACAACGATCCCGTCGTGCTGGGTTCCTTTACTACGATTCACGAATGTCTCTTCTTCCTATGTTTCAATCAACGATATTCGAACTCCAATTGACTCGGCAGCAACACTCGCGTTGCGGGCTGCCGGCTCTCTGACAGACTGCGATGCCCTTTGTCGCTGCCGTGCAAAGACACCCCCTCTCCGAGGATCGTTCCAGTATCCCCACTAGCGATGCGCATTGGCTTGATTATTTCGGTTCGCGCAGTCCAGACTGCCCGTAACGTCTAGTCATTCGGTATACGCACACAACATCGTCACGGCATTGCAAACGTCGCAATGTAGGCCCGTTTAGGCTATAACGGGGGACTATACTATATACATACATACATACACACATGCATGCACGCATGCATGCATCGTACACGTACTATATATATATATATATATATATATATATATATATATATATATATATACTCGATATCCAGAAGTACGACATCGTACCACTTTAGTTTCATGTATATACGCGTGTATCAGTGCGATCGCTGCGTGCGTATGTTCTGACTGACATGACCGGCAAGCCGGCCGGCACCACGTCGGAAAATGCCGGTATCCAGGGAAAGGACTTGCACCGAAAACTAGGGAAAACGGAAAACGGTATCATAGAAGAGACTTGGAGGTCGACATTGGTCATACTTTGCAGTACGGGTGCGGTTATTTGAGGGAAAATGTTACGAGGTGAAATAATGTCTAGCTAAGATGCACGCGATACGTCTGCTGCCATTGCACCGGCCGGCATAAAATGCAAGGAATTAAGGAACCGTTTCTCCTTTCACACCTATATATATATAGGTGTGACATATATGTGTACATATATATATATGTGTATACATAGCAAATATCACATTGAAACGTTTGCTAGCATAAGTTACGATTAATGTATAATTAATTAATAGTTTTTATATATCGCTAAACGATAAAAATATATGCGTAATTCTTAAAAGCGTGAAACGTAATTCTATTTCCTCGCATACGACATACATGCATATATATATTTTTTTTTTATCGTTTGAACCATTCAAATGATATTTTTATTTTTCCTACTTTATTTAAATTCAACCAGATGCACTCTTCCCAAGCACACCGCGTATGTAAATAGTGTATATAACAACATAATAAACATATTTTATGTCATACTTGATGATTGTCCTATACATTTGTCGCACTGCAGAGAGAACCGGTGTCTATAATTCTACTTTACTTTATTATCATCTGCCTTGTACCGTCAAACCCGTTACTTCTCCAAACGAAAAACAGAAATTAAAATACATTTTTTCCTCGCATATTTGCATTTTCTACAAATCGATGAAATAAATAAGATGAAAATTCGATGAAAAGACGCAAAGACGAAAATAAGTCCATCACTTTATCACGTATTGAATAAATGTAATAACTTTTCGTTCATTTATTTCCAAATAACAATATTGAATTTCCATTTTATAACTATTTGCCATTGAACATTATATACACGTACACGTACACGTACACGTACACATACACATACACATATATATGTGACATACATATATTTTGTGTGTTTTAAGAAATAATAAACGTTTTACGAATAATTACATTTAGCAATTATATAACGAAGCCACTTTCAATTTGTATACATGTCAATTACAATTGTAGATGCAACTTTTGCCGTTTTTTCAATTACATTTATTCACTTATCGAATCGTTGATAATTTATCTACTTCCGAATAATTGAAATATACGTAATTATTATTAATTAACATAGAAAACTTGATTAGCTTACGAGTAATTAGATATTTCTGTTTGGTAATATCAAATTTGTTCAATCGATGAAGATTGGAAAGGAACAACATCGTACAATTAAAATGCCGGTTGATCACCCGGTCGATATATCGATTCGTTCGTTGGCCGTCTTCGATTGCCGCATTGCATCTCACAATCTCCAGCCCTGTACCTATGAGTTATCGTACCCTATTGATACTATTGCAGATTTCCATCCCAACTTTTTCAAAAATATAATTATACCAAAGTCATTTCGATATATTCGTTGACATATCCTATCGTTCCAAATTTTTCTCCTTTCGAGCTTCCTTAAAAAATATACATGTATTTCGCCTTGCCTTTTTTTCTATTTTTCCAATTTTTTTATTTTTCCATTTTTCTATTTTTCTATTTTTCTATCTCTTATGTCGTTTCACGTATGATTTTTGAAATATAGTCTTTCAATATGATATCATTTTCTCAATTAAATAATATAAATAAATCGATTAAATAAGAATAGTTATGTAATTTGCTACTGAATATAGTGGTCTTATCATTTAGCATCTTAAAACTGAAATCGAATATTCTTCATCTTTTCTTCTTTCTGTTAATCATCTCCGCTTTTCCTAATGTTTTCCTATATTCTTGTCAAATCCTACAATATTAATTCTAAATATAATTCAAACATGATCGGGGTACGAGTCACAAGTTTCACAGTGCTGGCCATAGTGCGCGACGCTAGTATTGAGCGGTACCCCTTACTAACCGTGTTGAGAATATCAGAAACCAAAATATAGCATCTCTTCAAGTCGGATACTGTCCCTCGCCGTAATGACGATGCGCCTTACGTTCTGCACTTATCCTACATCCCTACATATAGTGACGTAGCTTGACGCGTTTACACCACGAGACATCACGACCACGGCATAGATGACGTACTGATACACACGAAATCTGCACATCGTTTAATTTATGTCTATTTCACTATGCTATACATTAACAACAGAATATGTGTAAATCAATTGAAAATTTTCCATTCTGTACGCTTGTTGCCATTTCTTTTCTAAACAAATCTATCAAATAATAAAATAAATCTAAATCTAAACAATTCTATCTATATATGTATAACGAAGGCAATGATACAAAAAAATCTTAAGAGGAAAAGGGAGGGGCCGGATGTTCGAGAAAAAAATCGAAAAAAAAAAACAACAAAGTATTAATGTATGCTTATGTTTAACTGAAATATTTCAAAGAATAAACAATTTAATGATAATAACGACAAGTTAAAGAACATCAATTTTTAAGATCGTCCCGTACAAATGCGTACTTAAAATTTCTACTCAGTTCTAGTGCAATTAAAATACTAATTAAAGAGTCCGTGACTAAAAATCTGGCCAAGCGTAATGAAACACACTAGGCTTCTTCGTTCAGCAACCGTTCAGTAATACGTGCATGCACGTGTACCCATGTATGTACGTGTGCTTATTAAATATCATAGCATTTGCATCAGCATCATTATTACATCGTTCGAATAATTTCACACTTCGCGTCTTATACACTACAATCAGTGACGCGATACTTTCACAGCAACTACGACGTCTCTGCCCTCCTTCTAAAGATTTCAAATTTTTCTACTGCGATAAAGCACGTCATCTACCTCTTCTATCCTCTGCATAACGAACATTAATAGATTCTCTTTTAACCGCCTACATCTTGTGTGCGACTTAAATCAAATATAAGTACCAACTTACAATCCATTAAGAAGTTACAAAGCTTCGTTTCTTCCTCGATAAAATTATAATTATATTTTTATGAGGAAAATTAGTCGTTTAACTGGCCTTCAGTCCCATTGTTGAAAATGTTACACGTACATTTTACGATTTATAATCGTTATCACTTACCAATCTCTTAATATTATAGAAATAGGGTAAAAAACGATTTTTTAAAGCGCGAATGGGCCCAAAAGCGCAAGTTTAGCAAAGACGGCAGGGTTGGGCGTTCACGAGGCGCCACGACGACGGCGTCTCATCGATCTGACTAGCCGAATACCGCAGCCACTTACAATATACACAGACTGTATGTATACCAGTGCCATAGAAAATCCACGTATCTGCAGAAAGAACTGCCAACCACGGCAAATAGTACGGTTTGTCCTTATAAAGTGTCTTATCCGCTGCTTATCAAATTAATTCTCTTTAAGCTAAACATAAATGATTACATCTAGGAAAGCTGTCCTTTCGTTTCTTCGTCCTCTTCTTCCTACGATTATTTGTTACTTCCAATAATTCCTTTCCTCTTCACCATACTAAAATCTATAAATATAAAACTGTGTAATTTATAAGTTATTAAACGTATTGTATAAATATATTAATATAGCATTTGTTTCATATACATATAATCTAACGGGAACTTGTTATATATTTACAATAATAACGTAATAACGTTTCTCATAATAAGAGTTAAAAAGAGTTAAAAATGAAATGAGACAACTACATATAAACTACATTAATTATGGAAAAATTGATTACATTCTACGTCTATTTCGTGAATTTTAAATCTTTTCATACACTGCTAATAATTAAATAAATTTCATATTGCAAAACTATTAAAAGACTTTCCATTCTTGTAAAAATCCTTTTCTTTTGTTTCGTGAAATTCTTTGATCGAATGCGTATGGTGTTTATTTCAAATGTTTATAACGTTGAATATGTAAAGTAAAAGTCATACAATTTTTCATTGGTATCAATGATGTTTTGTCAGCTTTTTCACATACCTTATTTATTTAGCACGTTACTGCCTAGTTTAATGATTTTCCTCTTTTTCTCTTTCTCTTCTTTCTCTTCTTCTTCTTCTCCCCCCCCCCCCCCCCCCCCCACAGCTAGTTGTATGCTATTCCGGAACACGAAGTCGTGTACTGGTTATACATTGTTTAGTCAATGTCAAATTTGCAATGGTGCTTTTACGTATTTAACAATTATAATCATAAATTATTATAAACATAAAAGGATTAAAAAACAAAATGGTAGGCTAGATTTTCTTAATCGTGTTTTAAATTTTTGTGTATCTACAGAATCATATAAATCTCGAGAAAATGACGAATAAAGGTAACGATACTTTTTGTAAAAAAATGCGACAAGCGACAAAGGAAATTCATACAATTAGTGACACATTAGTGAATGCAAAATTAGCATTTGGTAAGACATGATTTATTAAATAAACGTTTCAATCAATTTTCAATTGTCATTTATTCGTAATGTTACTATAATACAATGTATAGGTTAAGAAAGATGTCATATTTAAATATAACGTTCAACTAAAACTTTTTATTCTTTATGTTGTAATATGTTATTATCGTAATATTTATGTCTTATATCACCTAATACGTAACGAATATCCACTGTAAAAGTCTATTGTTTAATCAAATATATAAATAAAGCATAAGAGACCATAAACAATATCCGATTGGAACGCTAAAAATCATTGATTTTAAACAGGATTTCTCGATAATTCTGTATGGGCCGACGGTCTCTTGGTTTTCTATGAAATTTTCCAATATTTGGAGTTTGCTATGATTAGATGGAAACATACAGAAATAGGATTATTTTTACACGATCAACTTCGTCGTACCGAAGCGTTTGAAAGTGATCTCGAATTTTATTTAGGAAAAGAATGGATAAAAAGTTATAGTCCTAGGTAATTATTTTTGTACACTATTTGTATGTGTTACATATATATATATATATATATAGTATATAGTATAGACGACGATGAAGAATACGTATAATGAATTATATTATATAATGAAGGTATCAAGATTTTTATTATTAATAAAATTACACGTTTAAAAATACTTAAAATCTGAGTTTCATCGATCTAATAAAATGTTCACAAGCGTTCGCAAACATTTGAAAATGATTAAAAAGCATTCATACTCGACATCTATTCGACTTATTTAACAAATATACGCGAGCGTTTGCGTTCGCCCATGTTCCATGACTGTCAACCGCGCTCAAAGTACTCACCGACATGCATGAACCATACATACCGTATTAACCATATAAAATAAAATTTGATCTTAAAACTTTATTTATATTGAATATTCTTACAATTTCCAGGGATAGTGTTACTAGATATTTGATTCATTTAAAAAAAATTGAAGATACGGATCCCATTTTGCTGATAGCATATATTTATCATTTGTATATGGGCCTTCTAAGTGGTGGAATTATTTTACGTAAAAAGAGGCAACTTATGCAAAAAATTTGGCCGTTTCAAGCATGTCAAATGAATGGCAATAATATTACAAACTTCGGAACCAGCAATATTTTTGAACTTAAGCAATATGTACGCGATACTATGAATAATATTGCCGAGACATTGGACGAAGATACAAAAAATAAACTCATCGAGGAAAGTAAGACAGTGTTCGCGTTAAATAATGAAATTATAAGAAGTGTACGAGGTACAGGCACTGTATTTTTTAAAAAAATAATGTATTTTGTTATTCCCGTTATGATACTTCTCTTAGCTCTAATTGCATCTTTTAAAAAAATATGATGTACATATTTTCATTTAGAAAAAAGATTTTATTTTATTTATATGAAAATAATTTTTAGATTTAAGAGAAATATCCATAAACGTTCAACGTTTCTATATACACGTACTTTATAAAATGGAAAAAAAATTTAATTTATTCTCTATTCTTTATTTGATTATCATTTTGTACTTTAAATGCCTCTTAATACGATTACATATGTAATTATGTTGTGCTTTTCTCTAATGTGTTCTTGTTATTTTCTATGATTATAAAATCTACTTCGCTATTGTATATATTCGTTACATAACAAAGAAAGAAAAGAAATAGAAGACAGAAAATTTTTTAAACATTTCACTGCAGATTACAGATTAATCAAGTAGATATATTATATTAGATTATATATTATCTAATAAAATCGTTCAGAAATCAAATACAATTCGCCGGAGATCACATTTGTTAAGAATACAAATATTTAAAGTCACGTTTAATTGTAACTATCTGTACACAAACACTCATTTAAGCTTGTATAAATATTGTAAGAATATGACTCTATATCTTCTAAAATTATTTTCAAATAACTTTATAAGCAATCAAGTATTGCTTGTTCGTCGAATTTAAAATTTGCCCATACCATTGAATAAAATTCCATAGTACACTTTTGACCTTCGACATTACCTATTGGAGAGAAATCCAATGCATTACGAGTCATCACCGTAAGTGGAGAAGATATAGTTTTTAAATCTATTTGCAGCTTATTTGCTGCTTTTCCAAATAACAAGGATTTTATATTCCCATCTGGAAATTCTGTATTCGGAAATTCTTGAGATGCTTCATCTAAAAATAAACATAATTTTGATTATATTAAATAAACTCTTAATTTTGTCGACTTGTTCAACAAATCTTAATTATAATCTTAAACGTTAAACCTTTCATTCCTATAGCGAAAACTTGAGCCTTGTAGCTAAATTCATTGCACTTTACACATTGAATAGCTGGATCCATTAAAAACGAACATGATTGTTGTTGACCCTGCAAACTGTCCGTTAATTGTTTAGCAAGTATATCTAATGTTACATCTTCATTTTGATCTCCAAATAAGTTATGTTTAATCACTTTGGGTACAATTTTACTATCATGTATGTCACGTTGGTTCCTCGTCGGTGAAGTATTCGATTGCCGAAAATTTCGAACATCTTTAAAACTGAGGATATCGCTCTGGAAATAACAGTTTACAGATTTACGTTAAATCTATTATTAACAATATTAGTCAAAATGCATAATTAAGTAATAAATAATATACTTACTTGAACAGAGGGTGGAAACAGCTGCCGTTTGTTCTTTGAAACAGTTTCAACATCACCTAGAGATCTGTGTCTATGTCTTCGTATTGAATTTGTATTTTTTTCGCGCAAATATTTTTCTTGTATCCAACGTCTCATTCTCCTATTTGAAAAACGTTACAGAAAAATTGAACTTTTAAAGCACATTTAATGTTATAACAGTTTCTTCTCTAATTTTAATCTTTACTTCTTATATATATGTTTACATTTTATAATGCACAAATTATTTACCTTTTTAGATACACATTATGTACTTAATCAATTATATGACATGCATAAATACCGGTATTTAATTGTATTTAATAAATAACAACGTGCACATCGTAACATCAAGATAGTCTTTTTTTCTTTTATAACTTCTGAAGTAATTTATTACCTTGCAAAAGGAATAACCCTGAAAAATGTATTTGAACCAAGTCCAGTTTTTCCTTTTATCATATCTTTCTTATTGTTTGGTAAATTGGCTAAGGAGAACCATCCTACATTTTTTATTTCTTTCCTTGTTCTTGGCTGAAACTTTGTATCTTTTTGTACACCGCATATTATGTATAATCTTATTAATTGCTCATTTATTACAGATTCAATATATTCATTTTCATCTATCAGATTTGAAATATCAAAACCAGTTTCTTCTAAAACTTCTCGAACAGCACAACGGACTGGATTTTCATCTTTATTAACTTTGCCTTTAGGAAAACTCCAACTACTTGCACAATAACTTTGAACAAGTAACACTTTAGTTAAATCTTCATTTAATACAATTGCTCCATAGGTTGGAACATTTTGCTTATAGTCCCGCCACTGTTCAAGAATATGATCTATGTTAATTACATGAGGTGTTAGAAATGGTATATGATAAAAGATTTGCGTTGCAAATTCTCTCATACTGCACGGTTTCAATTTTGGATTTTCAACTGTACAGTAAAAATCTAAATAAAACCAGTGTGCAAGTTCGATTTGAAAACATATTCGTATTAAATCTTTTCTTTCTTCTTCGGGTACATTTATAATAAATCGACTAAAAACAGAGCAAAATAAACAAGGTTAAATAATAATATGAAAGAGTATTTTCTAAAAATTATAGCCAAAAGCTAACCTGCTTAAGTCATCGAGAATATCAGCCGGTAACGAATGGTCCATTATTTCAAAAATTGATAAAATAACTATGATATTTTTCCCTCTATAACAGAACTTTATAGTCACAAAATATACGCGCAATCATCATTTCAAAATCACAAATCAAATGTTTACCTTCAACTATTCAAATCAACTTGCGCCATTCGAATCTATCTTTTTAATTAATTTATGCCATTTAATCATTATCATTGCCATTAATCATGTAGAAATTCATAAACAAGGTATAAACACATCTTGTGAGGCTTTATCTCACGTGTTTTAAAATATATGTATACATACCTCAAAAACTGTAATATTTCGAAAAAGATCAGTGTTTCTTATACTTTCTGTGATTTATTATGACAAATATAGAATTTACATTTAGCTCAATTATCAAACACGATGAACCTAAAAGTTGTGAAAAAATCCTTGTTTGTTAAGCAGTTGAAAGATATTTTAATACCGGAAGTTACAATCTATGCTAAACACTCAAACGGTACTTCTAAAGACAAATTCTAAAATGGCTGGTCTACATGGATTAAGGATGCATTGACCAGAATCCTGCTGATAGTCTATCTGTGTTGAAAATACGTTTGTTTTGTTTAGGGCAAAAGAAACAGCTTCTCGTTAAAATATTTTATGGTCGCAACACTAACATCTTTTATTTTAACCAACGAAAATTAATAACTAAACTAATTAAAATTGATATCTAAATTAAGACCGATAATATCAATTTTTCACAAATGCCTCTACGATTTTAAAAGCTATCAAGTTATAAATATATCATGTACCATTATATGATTATATTTCTATATTATTTTACTCCTATATTTAAACTATCTCAAATTCGTTAAAATTAAAAAACATTTTGAGAACATATTGAAAATTTAATTTGACAATATTAAATTCTTACTTAACCATTATATTCTAATAATCAATTGTTAAATAAGTAGAAAATTAAATTAATAAGCACGATATAATTACACGGAAAATTACATGACATTAATTTAATATTATTAAATAGTCATAAATAATTAATGACAATAAATTTTATTTTAAATGAATAAATTTATTCTTTACTAATTAATTAATTGTAGTATCTGTTGTAATACAGATTCTATGCTGTCACTATTATTCGTCACTTTCAAGTCCCATGTATTTACATCATCTAGGTCGCATTCTGTTTCTGAATCATCAATACCTATGAAACATATCTTATAATTAATAATGTAAATGTGCAAATAATAAAAGATGTAAATAAATACTAGAATATCCGTTAAATTAATACAGGCCTACAGAAACTAAATTCGGAAGCTTAGAAAGCTTCTCCCATTTCATCTCTCTTATCTCACTGCACGGACAGTTTTTATGTGTTTTTTAGGAAATACGTGTCTGCATTGTCGGTGTATGGTGGTTAGAGTGGTGTTTGTTAGTTTTTTCCTAACCTATGACTGCCTCCTTACACTTGACGTCGTTGGCGGTAGCTAAACTCTGCGTATTTTATGTGATGTGTGTCGCGTGTGTGTACATGCATGCGGGAGCTGAGGAGGAGGGGGAGGGGGAGAGTTTTTTGTGAACAGGCCTGAATTAATGAGTTCTGTAATTTTTATTACTATTATAGTTTAACAAGTAATTTTTTCTTTTACATACCTGAAACAAATATCCAACCACGTTTCTGTCTAATTACAACGTCCGATTCAACACGAATCGTTTTACATGCATCTTCAAAATTTTGCATAAACCATTTTATATCAGTTTTTCTTCGTACATCACTGACAATCCATATTGGTTTGCTATATGCTAAAATAAACTAGTGCATAACATGCTATGGATAGAATTTTTTATTTTTAGTATAAGATAATTTACTACCATTATACATGTCTAAAGCAGCACGACAAAAGTACCCGTAATCTTTGTTTCTTATGTTTTCTCCCCATTTTGCCATTTCAAAACGGTAGTTTTCCTTATATCTTCCATCTCCCAGAAGTTGTTCAATATCCAGACCAAGAGATTTAGCCCAATGAAATTTAATTGGCCCCGACAATTTTATAATGACGCTGTTATCAAATCCGATTCTATTCCAAAATATATCGCTAATTATTTTGATGCTATTACCAACAATATCATGTCTGTAACTATCGTTGACATTATATTATTATTTACAGGACTTTATTACCTTTCTTGCAAAGTATTTGTAATATAATCCTTTCCAGATTTTCTTTTGCCGCTGAATAATAGAATAGTTCGAGGTTTAAATGATATTTTTAAATTTATTGCACAATTATCGATAACGTGATCAGTCGCCATATTGACTTTATGCTGTAACATTTAAGCGTCATTCAAATATCAAAAGATTGTATAATTGATCACTTCACCACTAATTTTCGAAGATTGCTATAATTTCTTACTTTACATTAATAGTAATTTATCCTTAGAGATTGATGAAACTCAAAATATTTATTTCATTAAATATGTTAAACAAAATTACTTAGAAATTAAATTATATTCATATTTCTGAAATATTTCTACATATTTATCCTTTAGTATTCCTTTATTTATCCTTTCAATTATATTTGAATATAATATTGACTCTGTTCTAGCAATGGTTTTATATGATAAACGAAGATGATAAGTGATTTGAAGTATCGATTTGAGTACAAATATATATTATATAGTAAGGTTACATAAACACATTTCCTATATTTTAATCTTTTCTATTAGAAATTTGAAATATTAATATGATCACAAACAAATATAATATATTTATTATACAAATATAATTTTATCGAGCAAAATTTAATAAATTATTATTTTCAGTAGCAAAAATATAAACTATTATATGCAAAAATTAGTAAAATAAAATCAATTAGCATATTATAAGGCAAAATCAAATCAACACGAATCAAATTCTTTTTTTAAATTTTTATTACAATAAAATCATTTATAAACAAGAAAATTATTTTTTTGCTTCTCGAAGGGCTTTACGTTTCTCAGCTCTCTTTAATTGTTCTTTAGGCTTTAAATTATGCTTCTTTGCAAAGCGTTGGTTTCTCAAGAATTTCAAATCCATCTAAAAAATATGTAAAAAATAATAAAATTACACATATAAAAGCTGCAAAAATATATTTTGTTCAATTCAAGAAATATAGTACAACCAATTTATAACAAACTTTAATCATATGTATAATTTTGTGGAGGAAGTATTTAATATTAAATAAAGAATGTATTACTGTTCCTTGTATCATTTGTAGCTGTATAACAGCATATAAAAAAAATAGAAAAGTATTGTTACATAGCTAAAATCTTACCCCAAGCGTGGACTCGTGCCTGTAGCGTTTTGGCTTTTTGATACCATTACGATGAGCTTTACGATCTAGAAACCAAACAAAACGTACCAATTGCATATCTTACACCTTGAAACGTAATTAATTTAATTTCATATTGATTAAATCCTTTTTTTCTTTTTCTTTCTTTTTTTCCCCCCGAATATCATCACTGATATCGAACGAAAATAACCTCATTTTCACATATTCAGAAGCAATAAGATCATATTTGTATATATATTTCTCTTATACTCACTTTGATTATGATTTGTATGATTTTTTGACTTTGCCATTTTTTCCCTTCTTATTAAACAACCTAAAAAATATAATGATTTTATTCAGTTACAACGTAAAGTAGCATAAACAGTATTTGAGGTTAAGAATCTATCAAGATATATTCCATAATATATTAAGAAAATAAGAATATAAAAACTTAATAGGGAATACTTTCACTTAATGTTACAAAATAATGCAATAATCTCATTGTACCGGTTACTTAAAGGATCATCTGGATATATTTAATAATATTGTAAAGAAATCCTCTACCTATGTAAGTACTTTGCAAATTCTCGGAAGCGGAAATTCGAAGGGAAATGAAGCCCAGTAATAGAGAACGACAGTAGCGCCAAATTTAATTTCGCTTTTGTGTACTTCTTTCACTCTTTACCTTTGATTTGTTGCATAATAATATTTGTTTAATAACAATATATGATTTTTAGTTGTAATGAAATGTACTTATTAAAAATGGATTAAATGATATACAAAATAACGTTGAATACATTTATTTAATACATAATATCAGTAAGATATTAATATATTTACAAATTATGTGAAATAGAGACTAGCATTAGGACTAGTGATATAATTATTTGTATCTCCATATCATATTTACAGCTTTATTAATTATACAAGTACATAGTTATTTGGTGTAAAATGTATGTTAAAATACTGTATTGTATTTCAAAGGTAATATTTCATCGTCTATATAAAAGATAATCTGAAAATGAAAAAAGAAAAAGAAAAAAAAAAGAAAGAAAAAAGACGAATTCTTTGTGTGCTATTAAGCTAAATATAACAACAAATAATCCTAATACATTCTATTTACTGATGTTACATACTTATTATTTACTTTATCAACTTGTAAAAGATTTATGTATTATATCCTTCATTTGGACACGCGAATATGAGAACATTTACTATGGAGATCAGAACAACAAGTGAGTACATATTCAATAATGACGTATAAACTTACATAATAAAAAATAAATTATTACATTACACTAGACATTGTTCAAAACACAATATTTACATATAATATATTTGTTTCGTCATATTGACACATAGTGAATTAAATATAAAATCGATAGTTCATTTCCGTGTAAAAAGCAGACACGAAAATATACAGGATGCGACCGAAGAAAATGATAAAAGTGGATAACTTGTGATTCCATATGAAATTTTCATTCTATGCTTAGTTTTTAAGCAAATAGAATGTAGTGCAATACAACTATGATAAGTTATGTAGGTGCACACATATTTAATGGATTTCGAAATCGAAAATCCATAATAAAATCGATTTCCTCGGAAACAAACCGCACCCCGTACACGTGTATGTCTAATCTAAAACTTGTACTTAATAATCCTATGTCCATGTAATTCCTACATATATCTTTTAAATTATGGAATGCCTATTAATTTGCGAAATAGGATAATTTATAAACCTGACATCTTTCTATGTAATGTAATCCAATCCATAATTTGTTGTTGGATTTTTCTCTTTTGCAATAAAACTTCAGCAGCTCTCTGAAATTTCTCCTCGTTTCTACGTATATACATTCTCGCATCTTGTTCTAATTGATTGATCTTCTCAGGACGAACTTCTACCATTGATAACATCTCCGTTAAATATGGATTGAAACGAAAGTAAACATGTTCGGGTAGAAGGTCGTTCAACATAGCGTGTACAGCTGGCACAGTATATTATTATTAGCATTTAAGTATATATTTAATGTACTCTAAATATTTTCGGAATTATTTTATAAATTAGTACCTTCCGTATCTGTTGCACTGTCTAAAATTTTGTAAAACTTTTCCTTCCAACTCAAAATCGCTATTTCCGCTAAATTATCGCTGTTTTTACAGATTTGGTTCGGTGTTCGTCCAGTTCCAAACGAAATCACACATTGAATTGGATTATTTGGCCACAATTGTTTGGCTTCGTGTAATCCAATTGCACATGGATTATTTACCAATATACCTGTGGTAAAATTGAAATACTTTTGAAAAACAATTAAAAGCAAATATTTAAGCAATTTTATATTAATCTTTTTCATATGGCGCCAAAATATTTTTTGTTTATCAAATATGTTGGTGCGTACCTCCATCTTGATGAAGATATTCACCGCATTTAAATTCTTCAAAATAACTAGGTGCTGCCGCAGATGCTCTAATAGCTTCCCATAATTTGTGATTATGAGATCCTATATATAGACTTTCGGCTCTATGAGGTAGAGTATAATTTCGAAATACATAAGCCATCACGCGTTTGTGGTTTACTACAGCGGATATTGCTGAAAACTAAACAGTAATTTCTTTAACTCTTAATGTTGAAACATCTTTTATTAATATCTGTAAGAAAATAATGCAAAATTTTTATATTGCAAACAGACAATAATACATACTTTTGGAGCCATTGGGTCATGAACTGTTTTTATAAGAGCTTTATCTCCTAAATACTCTTGCAGTAATTTTTCCCAGAGTGCTGTATCATAATATCCGTGGCTCCATACTAAGTTACTTGTCCCCTTTATAGCATTTTGAGTGAATACTTTAGCACTTAGTTCTTTGTACAATTCAAATATCTCATCTAGTGTTCTTCGTTTATGTCCACCTGCAAACAACTTTATTGTTGAAAAATATACATGTAAAATATGAAAGTGTAAGCAGTGTTAAATTTTAATTATAAACTTAACTATCATTATATTATCTTTACAATTATTATTATATGTATAATATGGAAGTTATATTAATTTGCAAAGATAAATTAATAAAACATAACTTATACCGGAAGCATGTAAATACATTATTTCAAAACAAGAAATACAAAACAAAGCATCTTTGTTTTTCCATTCTTTTCCCTTTCCATTTCATTTTCTCTTTGACGAAATTAAATATGAAATTAATAAGTATTACAATGAAAATTGCTTTTCATATCTTTGAAAGTGCCCTTCAGAAGAATTGTACGCAAAACATAAAAGAAAAGACATATGTATTATATACATACCTAGAGTAGCAGCAAGAATAGCTCCTGTACTCACGCCACATATATAATCAAACATTTCATGAGTTTTTTTTCCTGTCAACTGCTCAAGCTTTCTCAACATTTCTATTACTAATACACCACGTATACCTCCCCCATCGATAGAAAGGATTCTAATGCCTTTGCCAGGTAACGGATCAGTATAACCCAATACAGCTAACGCTTCTCTGATAGATGCTGTAAAATTTTTACATAAATATTAAAAACATTAAAAATGTTAAACATATTTATATATTTAACAAGACAATATCTTTCACTATCACAATATCCTCATATACCTTTTATTTGTTCATCTGTAACTTTCTGTCGAGTTTTGAGCAATAAACTAATTGCTCCCTCTTTAATTGCATAATGCCTGGCTTCTGAATACTGATCAATATGTACCAGCAAATCCTCGATCCTTCTCAAACGTGAAGCATTTGATTCAGCAGTTATAATAGCATTTAAAACATGACGTGTTCTAGATTTAATGCTGTGCTTTGATATATTATTGTAAACATTCATTTTCCATTTCGGCGGCACAACTAATCTGGCTGTTTTACTTTTAACAGAATTAAATATTAGTGCACCAAGAAATTTAGAAATAGACTGAGTTCCTGGTTTATTTTGAAATTTCCTTTCATTTGTAGTATCTTCTTGAATTTGCTATAAAATTTATTACATGTAAATGAAAAGTTACACTTTTAAGAATCATAATGTGTCACATATTTAAAGTTCTTGACTTACGCTTTTACAATTAATGGTATTGGTAGTTAATGTTGCTTTCTCTTTGGTTTCCAACACTATATGCTCTTTTTCTGTTTTCTCATTATTATTATTATTATTATTATTATTATTATTATTATTAATATTATTATTATTATTGCACGTTTCTTCATTTAACGTTTGGCTA